CCCCATCGCGGCGGCCCAGAAGGTCGCCAATGGACGGAGCCTCCTGGTCGGAGGTTTCCTGAGGGCGCAGGCACGACTCCTGCAGGCCCGACCGGCAAGGTGCTTCAGGTGCCTGTCGGTGGGTCACGTAGGGGTGCACTGCACGGCGGAGGCCACCGTAGGTGACCGATGCTTCCGCTGTGGCCAGCCCGGTCACAAGGCGGGTGGCTGCAACGCTCCGCTGCGTTGCTTTAGGTGCGCAGCGGGGGGCAAGCCTGCCGACCACCGGGTTGGTGGTAAGGCCTGTGCCCTATCGCGACCGAAGCCGGGAGGCCGACCTTCCGCCTCCGAGCCGCTGATCCAGACGGAGAGTGCCGCTGGACAGCCGCAAAGTTCGCTGCGGGATGCGGGGATGGAAGTCCAGTGATGGATCCACATCTCCGCATCCTCCAGGTGAACGTAGGCCACGGTGCCGATGCTCAGGATCTTCTGCTCCAGAGCATGGCACAGTGGTCCATCAACATCGCCGCTATCGCCGAGCCATATGTCCATCGGTTTCTCGGGCCTGCCTGGGAGACCGACTTGGACGGCACGGCGGCCCTGGTGCACGGTACCGCAGCCGGCACTCCACCTCTTGCAGTAGTTGCAAGGGGACGGGGCTGTGTAGCGGCGATAGTTGGAGATATAGCGGTCGTGGCCGCTTATTTCACGCCGAACCGAAACCTAACTGAGTACGAGCAATGGCTCGCTCAGCTGGCCGTCGTCGTCGATGCCTGTCGCCCCCACCCGGTTCTTGTGCTGGGGGACTTCAACGCCTGGTCGCAGGCTTGGGGTTCCCTGCGCACGAACCCGAGGGGCAGGGCATTGGAGAACTGGGCTGAAAGATTCGGCCTAGTTCTCCTAAACCGGGGGGCCGTGGCCACGTTCGTGACGGCGAGGGGTAGTTCGATCGTGGACATCTCGTTCGCGTGCCCCTCGCTAGCGCGTCGTGTCCAAGGCTGGCGCGTCGTTGTCGGGGAGGAGACAGGTTCGGATCACCGATATATTCGGTTTGACGTCCTCCGCCCCTGCAGATGGCGCGCCGGTCAGACCGGCACCACCTGAACCACGTTGGGCGCTCAAGCGCTTAGATCGCGACCTCCTCCTGGAAGCCGCCATCGTACAGGCCTGGGCTCCTGCGCCGGACAGGCCTGTCGACGTCGATGCTGAGGCACAGTGGTTCCGGGAGGCCATGACCCGCGTCTGCGATGCGGCGATGCCTAGGGCTCAGCCCAATACTGCAAGGCGCCAGGTCTACTGGTGGTCGCCGGAGATCGCACGGCTGCGTCAAGCCTGCGTGACCGCGCGCCGCCAGTGGTCCAGGTTCCGCAGGAGGCGTCGCCGCCCCGAAGATGCGGCAGCGAGAGAGGCGGAGCTGTTAGCGGGTTACAGGGTTGCCAAGAGGACCCTTCAGGCAGCGATAAAGCGGGCCAAGAGCGAGGCCCGCCGCGAGATGCTGGAGACACTGGAGCGGGATCCGTGGGGACGCCCCTACCGTATGGTTAGGGGCAAGATGCGCCCATGGGCCCCGCCGCTCACACGGTGTCTTCAGCCAGAGCTGCTTGAGAGGGTCGTTGGCTCCCTGTTCCCAACGCGAGTGGTGGAGCATACTCCGCCACAGATGGCTCCGCCTCCGGCGCTTGAGGCGCCTAACGTGGATGACGACGACGTGCCTGAGGTCACTGGGGTGGAACTAAGGGTGGCGGTGTTACGGCTTAAAGCCAAAAACACCGCCCCGGGACCCGATGGCATTCCTGGCCGAGCGTGGGTCCTGGCCTTAGTCGACGAGGCTCTCGAGCCCCGACTGCGAGGGTTCTTCAGCGCATGCCTCGAGCGGGGGCCAGTTTCCGAAATTGTGGAGGACGGGGAAACTGGTCCTCATCCGAAAGGAGGGGCGCCCGGCGGACTCACCGTCCGCCTACCGGCCCATAGTGTTGCTTGACGAGGTGTGCAAGCTCTTTGAAAGAGTGATTGCAAGGCGCCTCGTCAAGCATCTCGTGATGGTTGGGCCGGATCTGGCGGACAACCAGTACGGTTTCCGTCAGGGGCGCTCCACCGTGGATGCGATCATGCGCGTGAAGGCTCTGGCGGAGGAAGCAGTCTCCCGGGGTGAAGTGGTGTTGGCGGTGTCCTTGGACATCGCCAACGCGTTCAACACTATGCCCTGGAGCTGCATCAGGGAGGCGCTCGTGTATCACGAAGTGCCTCTCTACCTCCGCCGCATAGTCGGGGCATATTTGTCGGAGAGAGCCGTCGTCTACCCCAGTAGGACCGGTCTCGGTAGGCGTGAAATGTCGTGCGGTGTTCCGCAGGGGTCGGTGTTAGGGCCACTCTTGTGGAACATCGGCTACGACTGGGTGCTTCGTGGTGCCTTCTTGGATGGTGTCGCCGTCGTGTGCTACGCGGACGACACACTCGTGACGGCGCGCGGCAAGACGCACCACGAGGCAACCCTGAGGGCCACGGCCGGGGTTGCCCAAGTCGTTGAGCGTATCCGGCGGCTGGGTCTCGAGGTGGCTCTGCACAAGTCCGAGGCCCTGTTCTTCCACGGGCTTCGGAGGAAGCCGCCTGAGGGATCTAGCCTCACGGTAGGAGGCATTCGCATCGGCATCGAGCCCTCGATCAGGTATCTGGGGCTCGTACTCGATGGCCGATGGGACTTCGGATATCATTTCCGAGGTCTGGTCCCCAAGTTGGTTGGGGCAGCGCGTGCGTTGGCGCGGCTGCTGCCCAACATGAAGGGACCCGATGACTCCTGCAGGAGACTCTACTCGGGGGTTGTGCGGTCCATGGCCCTTTACGGGTGCCCGGTATGGGCGGGGGCCCTGAAGGCCAGCAACGTCGCGATACTGCGACGACCGCAGCGAATGCTGGCCATCAGGATCATAAGGGGGTACCGCACGATCTCCTTTGAGGCAGCGAGTCTCCTGGCCGGAACTCCACCGTGGGACCTGGAGGCGAGAGCCCTTGCGGCACTGTATCAGTGGCGCAAGGAGGCGCAGGAGTTGGGTCGATGCCCCGAGACTCGAGAAATCGAGGACCGGAAATCCCAACTCCGCCAGGTCATCATAGGGGAGTGGAGGGAACGACTCGGGCAACCGAGCGCCGGGCACGCCGTCATTGCGGCGGTAAGACCCGTTATGGAGGATTGGCTCGAGAGGCGTCACGGGACCCTCTCATACCGATTGACGCAGGTGATCACTGGGAAGGGATGTTTCGGAGATCACCTGTGTCTGATCCGCAAGGAGCCAACGCCTGAGTGCCACCACTGCGATGGCCAGACCGTGGACACGGCTCTCCACACGCTGGCAGAGTGCCCGGCGTGGGTTGAGCAGAGGCGAGATCTCGTGGCGGCCATCGGAGTGGGAGTTCTCTCGCTCGATAGCCTGATCGCGGCTATCGTGCGGAGCGAGAGTGCGTGGAACTCTGCCGTCTCCTTCTGCGAGCAAGTTATGCTCGCGAAGGAGACGGCGGAGCGGGACCGGGAGAGGGTTAGAACTCTCCCGGCCCGCCAGGCCCGGGCACGGGCCAGGCAGCGCAGGCGACTCAGGCGCCGGAGGTCGCAGAACGACCTCCGTCCTCCATAAGCGCAGGCCTGGGGGGTGACAGGTGAGGCCATCTGTCACCCTAGCAGAAGCAGGCCGGGGTGGCGGCGAGCGCGTTGCGAAGCGCGCTCGCTTCCAGGGAGCACAGGGAACATGGGGTTCCCACACGGGGCGGGGGTCGTCTACTCGTCTGTAGATGACCCGAGGTATGTCGGGGCACCAGGGCCTTCCTTTCTAGGGTATACCTGGTTCCCCGGCTATTAGTACCCGGCGAAGGCGTGCGGTTTTAGTCGGTTCGAGTCCGACATGCCACCGACAGGTGGTATCCGAGGGGATTTCCGCACGGGAAAAAAAAAAAAAAAAAAAAAAAAAAAAAAAAAAAAAAAAAAAAAAAAAAAAAAAAAAGGGGTCAAACCGTAACAAACAAAAAATCATTTTCAGATTTATAATATAAGTATGAATGTTTATTTAGAACTGTATGAAGAGCAATTGATTTATCCCCTATTACCGAAGTGTTAGCGTTTAATTTCCATTCTTCTAATCCTTTGATTATAAAGACGTGGGTGTATTTATGTATTTTTTTCATTCGAAATGTAACTTGATTGAGTATTCTTAGAAATAATTCAATCCAAGCCGAATATATTTCAATACTTAATTAAAGGAATTCATCACCATTTTAAATTTTTAAAACCTATGTATGCTACGTTTTAAATTAATTCAAATACAGCAAGTGTTGATTACGCACGTATTATTTGATAGCTGTGTCTCGCTCAAAGTCACCGGATTTCTTGTAATAAAAATTCGTTCAAAATTCAGTTCCGATCTACTCTTGATCTCAGAACTATCATAAAAGGTATTATCATAGAAAAGGAAGTATTTTTAAGACTAGCAGAATACCGACTTAACGTCTGATGTTTAATACTTTGCTACGATTTATTGTCCCTTTTTGTTTTAAGTTTCTTCAGTATGACTTTGTACCCTATACTTGCATAGTGTGATCAGTTGATCAGTGATACAGTCAATGCGATAATATAAAAAATTTCCATCAGCTCCTCAACTAATAAACCATCGTAAATTCTTCAAATAAACAAAACAAAACAAATAACAAGTTACTATACGGTAACAATTACAGTTGGAACTACGCACTATCTTTGAAGTGTTATCTTTTTTTAGATATAACTAGCAAACCCGGCGAACTCCGTTTCGCCACCAGATGGCTTCGTTTTATGTAACATTTCGTTTGGTGATTAAAAGAAGAAGATTTTTTTTTTGTTTTATATTTGAAAAGGAAAATTTTTATTTCATTTCACAACAGTAATGAATTCATTTCGATTACAAAAATGAAGTGTTATTTAGTTGAACTTCTCTAAGTAAATGAAAGTGAATCCAAAGTAAATACTGAATCGAAGCGTTATACGTGTCCGCAAATTATCCGTTTCATTGAAGTGCTCCTTGGTAAACCACATTTTTTGTTTTTTGGTCTGACGTTAACACGGATGGTTTCCCAACTCGTGAACACGCAATGTATAACTGCCCATGTGAAAAACAATGATTTTCTAAATTTATCCCGCAAACACTAAGCGATTGGCCTTGCGACTTGTTAATTGTCATTGCGAACGCAAGGCGAACTGGAAATTGCAATCGTTTGAAGTCAAACGGAAGATCAGTTGGAATCATTAGTATTCGAGGAATACATACATTTTCACCTGCGTACTTTCCGTTAATAATGGTTGCCTCAATCAAATTCGGCATAAGTCTTTTTACCGAAAGTCGAGTACCGTTGCAAAGTCGCGGTGGATTCAAATTACGCAATATCACAATAACTGTACCAACTTTGAGTTGCAAGTTATGTGGTGGAAATCCTGGTAACTCCAGAGAGTTCAAAAACTCCGTTGGATAATTTACTACATCATCGGGATTTGTCATGGAATCAACGGATTTGTATGTCACCAAATCGCCAGCAGTTTTTGATTGAATGGTGAAATCCAGTGCGTGTACATCATTATTCTTTGCGGCAAGAATTGCTCGTTGACTTAACCAAGTATAATTCTGATAATTCTCACTAATGTTTGGGAAAACATTTTCAATAAGAGCTAATTGAGAGTCTACAAATCGGCAAAAGTCGTTGGTAAGAGTAATTAATAAAGATGTTGCATCAACTGGGACTTTTCCATTTCCAACAGCTAACAATTATTTGGCAAATTGTGCAGCACTTTGATCATTTCGAAGTTGAACTCTCATATTAGTGGTTAGCGATAATGTTTTTACGTTATTCCATAAAGGTGATGCCTTCATGCAAGCATTCAATTCATCTGCAGGCGTTCCACGGGGAATTACTGGCAACGTCTGCCTGAAATCGCCTACCAACAATATCATCAAGCCGCCAAAGAGGTTGTTATTTCGCCGAAGATCCTTCAGTTTGAAGTTAAGTGCTTCAAGTGATTTCTTATGTGCCATTGTGCACTCATCCCAAACAATGAGCTTGCATTGCATCAACAATTTTCCCATTGCATTGGATCGGGAAATATTGCATGTTGGAGTATCAATTGTGTTTAAATTGAGTGGCAACTTAAGCGCAGAATGTGCAGTACGACCGCTATCTAGAAGAGTCTAGAATAGTCAAGCATTAATCCTCAATCAGAATCAATCCTTCATTGTAGATTTCATCGGTTATTTGGATGTCAGGATTATTCGTTTGAATGCGCAAGCGATGCAAGATATCTTCACATATGTCGTCTTTGTATTTGTTCCATAACTGAATTGGTTGTGAAGGAAAACATGTGATGATGATAATTGCGAACAGAGTTCGTATTTGGTACGCATTTGATGAATCAACTGAATCCGCAAGTGTTAAATCCCAATGAGAATCATTCTCCAGCAAACCCAATAGTTGACATGCTTCTCGATATGTTTGGCATTAGTGGCCATTCACAGTTTTCAAATGCGCAAATGATTTTGGTCCACGTACATTTACCAACAGCAGTCGCAAATAAAAACATTCATCATTTCTAGGATGAACAGTATACAGACGACCTAGTGCATCAGTGGAAAACATCTGTGGCCAATCTGGAACTGGGGTTCCTTGTTTGCGACGTTGGAATTTCTTTGTTGATTGATTCCAAGTGTAATACTTTGGCATTTCAACGTACATCAGCGTCGCTGCGAATGGATCTGCTTCACACATTGCAAAGAAGCTAGTCAATGTTGTCGATGGTGGTCTCTCAGCTCGTTGTGCCGCATTAGCCTCAGTGAAGTAAACTCTTAGGCCATTTTCCAAATGCACTGCTAAGTGTACAACTGTGGGATATCTTTCATGAATTTGAAATGACAATAATCGCCACAGTGCTTCATTAGTACTGACGTATCTGCCCATTTGGAAGTTGCTGATTTCGTCATTCGCATTTTCCGACGCAATACCAAACACAGCCATGTCGCTGCCTTTTGTGACGTACTTGCACAAATATTTGATTGATTTGGCCGAATGACAACTCTCAACGTTTGCATGTGTTTCCAAAATTCGTGATAAAAGCGGGCAATATGGTACAATGAATTCATTTCCGATCTCAATCTCTTGATTTTGAACTTTAACTTTGATAGTTCGACCATTATCTTCTTTTGAACGCCGACGATAAACTGGATATCCATCGTTCCCTGTGACTGTTTCAGCAACTAACGGTCGCAGATATCGTTTTGTGCACTTTCCATCAGCCATGCAAGGCGATAATGGATTTAATGCACCGCACGGTCCATGCACCATCTGTGTCGTCACAATGTCGTGTAGATGGGGATCAGTGACTGGATCAGGAATTTCAGCTGATATGATGTCATCCACTTCGGATTGCATGTGAACGTAATAAATAAATCCGGAGTTCCATAATTTCGCACGTACGTCATAGCGTCTTGAGCGTATTCGTGCATGTGGCGTGGGCTTCCGATATAAGATGATGGGAGAATCGTCAGACGTCCAATATTCTGAACATCACCATCTGAATGAGTAGCACGCAAGTGTATATAGTCCTCAGATCGTAGCTTTGCCTGATTGAATCGGATGAACGCTAAACGTTCGGTCTCGACTTTGACATACATGTCGACAGCGAATTGCTGGAATAGCCGACGGCACTTAAGAATGACATTCTCCTCATGTGTGCGAATCATCATACGATACGCATAGTAATTCATTGCGCTTAGATTTTTGTTCGTTGATACGCCTGAAAATGCAAAATTAAATGAATTGTTAATGGAAACCAATAATAGCAATAATAGCAATAATTAGTGTGTGAATATTGTACCTTTAATTGGATCGACCATCTTCAACGTGATGTCGTATCTGTCTTGCCCTTGCCAATAAATGATTGGATATTGTAACGCATCGTACAAACGATGTGTCTCGTTTACACGATGCATGATATTGCTTCTTCGCTGAACGACAATGTCTCGCGATTTAGTTGTATAGCCAACAATAATTGCAGCAACATCATTAACGGTGGGTGCATTGAAGTTTCGCACATGTTCACCTGTTGGGGTACAATCCGCTCTTATGACAAATTTGTGCGTATCCAATGGCATTCGTTCCAATGCTGTTTTGATCATATTAACCACAGCATTATTAGCGTGAAAAAATGCTTGCAACTGTTCAATAATTCGTCTCTTTAACTGTTGTGTTCCCTATACTGCACCGCACATTCAGCTGATCCACCATCGACGAAATGAAATATATTTGCAGAAATTGATGCGATTCATCTGGTGTTGGTACCATTGAACCATGCAAATGATATATTTGTCCTTGTATCTGTAATTGCAAACAATCATTTGTTGAAGAATACGGTGTAACTTCTGATCGTGTGATGGTGTAGTGTGTGGTGTACTCGTATATGTAGTTGTTATGTGTTGCAATTCATTGTGTTGGTGTGAGTGATTGGTTATGTGTGTTGTATCTTTTACCTTGCAAGTCGGCATGAAGCCGTCTTCTCGAATGATATTAGCTCCAAAGGAAGTCATGCGAAAGCAGTTATTGTATTCAAGGATGTGTTGAAGAAAATCGGGATCACTTCCATCGAACAATGGTTTCAGTGGCTGTGTGGTGTAAGTAATGGATCCAGTTTGATTTTTCCACTTGCGAAGCACAATCCAGCCGTTTCTCATTTGAACTTTAACGCATTGCAATATCGGCATATAGTCGTCATTGGTCCAATATCTAAATTTTCATCATCACTGTAGTTCGCAGTGGGATCATATTGGAATGCCAAGCGATTGTATGATGCCAATGATCTTCGTGTGCTCACGCGTTGTCTCAATCGGGCATTTTCTCTTATTATATTTTGTCTTTCTTCGCTTATGTTCTGTGAATACACTTGTTGTTGGCTTGCATGTATTGTGCGGCGGCCGATGTTCGCACGTCGTCCTCTAGGCATTTTGGACTATGGACAGAGTGGTGAATTTAACCTCAAATGCACGATCCACATAATTTACACAGTTCAACTTACCACTTTAAAGACAAATGCCTGCTGTTGAAATTAAATAAAAATTTGCACAATACAATGATTTGATGGTTTCCAATTGAAATGTTAGGAAACGAATAACTTATTTTTTTTACTTTTTTTTTCACAATTTCACAGTTAACACAATACCGGTTTGTCACATGAAACTAACTGAGCAGAGAACAATGAGTAGCTCTCAAATAATGTATCACGCACCGGCGCCATCTACTTAAAATATTGGTTTGTAGTACATGCTATGTATCAGAGATGGCGTTGTATGTGAAAAAAGATTTTCAAATTTGTACAATACACGTGATGGATTTGATGGTTTCCAATTGAAATGTTAGGAAACGAATAACTTATTTTTTTTACTTTTTTTCACAATTTCACAGTGAACACAATACCGGTTTGTCACATGAAATTAACTGAGCAGAGAACAATGAGTAGCTGTCAAACAATGTATCACGCACCGGCGCCATCTACTTAAAATATTGGTTTGTAGCGCTGTATGTGAAAAAAGATTTTCCCGCTTTTCTGTTGAAATTTTTCCTGAATTTTCTTTGCTATAAACCACACGGAACCCGAGACCTTTCCAACGAATGCAAAACCGTGGAAATCGGTTTGTGCGTTCTGGAGTTATAGCGTCAGGAAGGAAAACCCGACTTATTTTTATATAGTAGATGATTCTTTTTAGTAGATAAACGAACCATTGTATTTTTATAATTAAAAGATTTATTGCTTAGATACATTCTAAGACTATACATATACTATGAAACCGTAAGAGACCAATGCTTCATCACAAATGGGTTGGCTTGCTCTTCATCGAGTGAGTGTGGTTACCGGAACCCAAATTCCCCTTTTACTTGATATTAAAGGGGGGAGGGGAGGGGGCTGAAAGTACCAGGTATCCATGTACCTCGTACTATTGAGTTGCAGATGTTCGTTGGAAATGGTAGCTAGGTGACCTGCTCGTCCTGAAATCTGCTTGTATGCCTTCCTATACCCTGAAATAAAAACGAATTTAAAATTGCATTCTACAAAAACATAACTTTCCAGAATAATTTTTAGTCTCCTCACTAAAAAGTGATGCTATACTTTATATTCCGCTGGTTTCCAACATAAACATCGCAAGTCCTGAGCGATGCGTCACGTCAAGATTGCCGGTGACAAATGTGCAACATTCGTAACTTGCATTGCGCACCCGTCTCTTGGGCTAGATCTTTGACGGAGAATAATCTACGAAACAGATATTCCACTCCATTTAATTTCACGAGATTTAGATTTTGAAATTTCATAAGAAATAACACATATATGAATATTTTTGACTAGCAAATTCGCCAACGTCTCTAAAAAGGAATAAAATTTCCTTCCTTTTCACAATTTTTTTTGTTGATGCTCAGCCCCATCTTGTCGTAGCGTGAAGTTATGAAGCCTATAGCCTTTCTTGAC